GTTAGACTTTGTTAGCAGGGCTCACACAAGGCATCCAGAGCTCACTCGATCATAAATTGAAGAAACTATCATCTCCATGAGAAATAGAGCTATCCAGAGCAATAGACCATTTGTTGCTGCTTCTGATGATGTCACAGGCCAAGAGTTTGCATTAGGAGAGACCCATCAAGAAAACATCATCTCGGACGATCCTACGAAGTCTCCCAACCATGATGCATTACATCCAGATCCTGATGAAGAGCATTTAACTAAGTTCATGTTCGATGACGACAGCGTCTCCATTGCTGCTCCTCTAGTCTTCTCTTCCTTTCACACTCTACAAAATCGATCCCCATCAAGGCCCTTCTATAACTTCGGTTTTTCATCTTCTTCATCAAAGCCTGTTGATGAAGAAATCCAAGTTGACGACCAAGTCCTGCACAATATTGAAGGCGAAACCGAAACCAATGCTCCCATGGAAGATCAAATAGCCACTGCAAACAATCCTCCTCCTTCCGTATCTCCTGTCAATCAAGAAAGTGAGAAAGCTAAGTCTGAGAGTTCCACCTCGGACACTGGATCATCATTTGGTAACTTCGCCGATCCATTTGCCATGTTGGAACTCCGAGTCAACGTGTCCTCTACAATCTCGAAAGTGGAATCTGTAGAAAAGTCGGTTGCCCAGCTTAATTCTAAAATTGATGCCAAAGTGTATGGTCTTGACACAAAGCTTGATTCCATTCTTCTCTCCATATCCGAAGTCAAGAAACCAGGGCCCCCCAATGACGAAAGGGCAGAACAGCTGGATCAACTCATCTCTCTCCGACTCAAGCACACCATTGAGGAGGTTGAGCAAAAATACAATTCAAGTCTGGACCACTACCTTGACACAATCACTACCATGCTACAGGTTCATGATGACATGATCAGCGCCACCAATGAGCTGATAAATCTAACCCATGTCAGGCATGAAAAGCAAATTCAGAGGATGGAGAAAAAGATCAAGAAGAAAGATGAAATGAATCTCATCATGCAGCAAGTTCTCATCACACTCCTATGATCCTGTTGGAATATAGTAGACGTTCCAAACAATAACTTCGATGAAATGCTTTCCATCCTTGCCTCCCTCTTCGACCACTTGAAAGCTCAGGCTCCAACCGCTGAAGCCTATGATGCCCTTACTTTGCCGATGAACACGAGTTTCCAAAAGGTGTTTGATAGGCTCTCGGAATTTCAAATCTCAGATAGACATGCCTCGGTTGCAGGTCCATTCGATGCAAGAGGGGGAGAAGGACCGAGCAAAAGAGATCACACTATCTCTTGGAAGCCTGCCTCGGAGTTTAAACTCTGAGATGAATCTGATGACGATGATGTTCAAATTGTTTCCACATGTACTCCTTCTGATGATGATGATGAAGATGTTGAGTACATCACAAATGTTGTGGTAAGTATTCAAGCTCCGAGACAATTTTCGGCGAAAGTTCTTTCTGAGGAAGAGCAAAGGATATGATCTGTTGTCTCATGGCCATCATCCTTGGTTGTCGTTTTACAGAAAAGTCGTGAAATGGCTAAGGCAAAGACTAAGCTCACAATTGAAGCATTCCGAGCTACCCAGCCGATGTTGCCCCCAATTTCCTCACCAAGAATAGCTCCTATAAATGAAGGTTCTCCACTTCGGAAACCTGACAACATTCCAGAAGATCCTCCGATTACTCCACCTCCAGAGTTCACCATCGATGAGAATATACAGCATGTCATCTCGGTCCACAACAAACAACAAGACAAAGGCAAAAAACCTATCTCGGAGTTTCTCAGCTATCAACAGATCACCAAGAAGCATGATGGTTGGTCTCAAGAACAAGTAACTCAAGCCCTTGAAGAGAGCATCCAGATTCAAGCTCTCAAAGACAACCCCAATCCAATGCTAGGGCTTTCCCCACTCTGTCGAGAAGGAATAATTCATTATTTGGACATTATGCCATTCGGGTATAATGATCTTCCAACCCAAGACTCGGAACAGCTTGATCTCCCCATCTCTCCTATGGCAAGCTCTACATCAAGTTTGCTCCTCTCCACCCAGAAGATGATCCTCAAATGATCATCAGAACTAAAATAGAACGACTGAAGACATTCTACTCCTTGAATGCACGTCCCCTAAAGGAAGTAAGGTATCGGAAGAGAATTACAAAGATATATGGGTTCGGAAGAAAAGTCTTAACCAAATTTGACTTTGACTGCTTATTGTATCGCTACTACATCTATCGGAACAAGTCAACACAACTCACCATCACGGACGCCGACTTCCCCTCCATTAATCCTAATGACATCTTGACTATTGCTACTTATTTCCGAACTCGTCAGGACAGTCAAATGAGCATTGATGCCTATAGTGCTGCAATGAACTATCTCAAGGAACTGAAAAGTTCTTGGCAAAAATTGACTACAAGCTGCTAGAACCTGAAATTTTGGCAGAAGGGCCAATTGATGAACCTGTGTTGGGATACGTCTACTTGCAAAAGAA